TTTTTCTTGTTTAACCTCGAAAACACACCAAAAAGCTTACCTTTGTGCACATGCCACGATGTTGTCTATGCAAAACAAAAATTATTGTTTTTCTTGTTTCTTTCATTACACTCACCTTTGATGATTATCATTGTATGTTACTTAACTATTGATCTATCTCTCTCTCTCTTTCTTGTCATCATCACTGGTTCATTTGGTTTTTTCTCAAATCTCTTGGGGATCAAAGACAATGCAGACAGCAGTAACGTCTCCTTTCAAGCTTTTGACTTCCCTGTGTTTCGCTTTATACTATTTAATCTTGTTTTATCTCTGACATGTGATTTTTAGGCACACCGTGCGCATCATATCCCATCTTTGTACAAAAAGAAAAGTCATCGGGGTAAAGGTAATTGATGATTTCACAGCTTAGTTACGGCTACTCGATACCCCTTGGCCCGTCTATTGGCATCGTGTGTAGTACTTCGTCAAGGAGTTGCAAGGCTCTGTGTAAGTGTACCTGAAATGCCAATACATTTTTACACACACGATTCGCAAACTTTTATAACAACTTTAACACTAGTAATCACCTCTATCCAACAGGGCGTCTCTTTGATGCTCTGCCTGGGATAGTCGGGTCCCCAGCCTTTGACGAAACTCAGTCGTAAGATGCACAGACGTCGAAAATCGTCAACCCCAATGCCGGCAGCAGCGCTCAAACCTAACGTACAAGCAGGTAAACTCAGCAATACCATACTTGAGCAAAATTTTCCCACAAACAGCAAACAACAAACTTACTCTTCGTGATTGGTGCTCCGTGAGTGAGATGCCCGGCCACAGCGGCAGCCTGTGCAGCAGCAGCCGCCTGGGCCGTCGCAGCCTGGGCTCTCATTTGCTTGTGACACTGACGAAGATCGAATACTTTGATGTAGGCCGCCGGGTAGATTTTATGGACAGCGTCGCCGGGCGCTCGGCCGGCCTCGCGATCCAAATAATAAGACTGCACGAATACGCTGTGCTCGCTGAGGCACCGCAGCCAGACGTCGCCCTCGCCTCTCAAATCGAGCACAACTCCCTTGCCTGAGGAAAAAAAACGTTTCAAATATCAACCCACCGATAAAACTGGTCCGTGAAATCAAATTTAGATGACAAAGACGTACCGATGTAGAGTCGAGCTCGTTCGCTCTGCTCGGTACGATGGACGTTACTAAGGGCACCGAGGCAGAAGCGATTACCACCGCTTGGATCAACGTAGCCGTCGATCGTCACGTTGGGACAGCCACTGCTCACCTTGAAGGTCTCACCGACTTGGGTGTCGAGCTCGAAGTACGCAACCGAGCACCAGTACTCAGGCGCCGGCTGACTCGACAACAGACCGCCACTTACGCTCCCAGCTACATCGCCCCCATGATTACCCCCTGAGAAAAGAAAAGAAGCACGTACAAGAAATGCAATATAATAAATCGAAGTAACAACAGTATATGGCAAACGTAAATACTCACAGTAAGAGGAAGGATGCAGGTGTCTGTGATCGGGGGGTTGCATGCTCTGAGTGTAAGTGAGGGTGTTGGCGCCTGTCCACTGGGGTGCACCCGTGTTGTAAGGATTGGCGGCGTTCGCGACCGCAAAACCATTGTTCTGATGGTGAAGGTGCACAGGCGAGACTGGCGAACTTTGGCTTCCACCTGCGGCTGTAATTAATAGTTGTGTGTTTACTTGACGAGTGAAAAAATTTAGTGAGTTGAGGTACATCACAGGTGACTTACTGAGCGAAGCTGCCAGTGCATCGACGGACGTTTGCGCTTGGTTTAAATCCTGGGGTGGTGTGTTTGTGTTGTAGAAGCCACCCTCGCCACTCTGACCCTGCGAAGGATTCAGTATTTGCCCACTGCTGCTGCCACTCGTTGAGTTCAAGGATTGCTGTTGGTTGCCTATTTGCGGGTGTGGGTTATCAAACAAAATTTCTTGATGAGTTTTTTTTTTTTTTTTCAAGTGGAAGCTTACTGCTAATAGGTGGTCACGACTGCTTCATTGAGAAAAGTGCTTTGAAAAATATAAATTTCAGTGACTCGGTACTCTGGACTCATTTTTCCAAATCTGACACTTTTGTTTAACAATCCTTTTGACTGATGAATTTTTCTCTATTTTAATGATTTCAACAATCAGCCATACAAGCAAGGATCGATGAACGTATTTGTATACATCGTATTGATATCATAACCGAGGATTTTTCGCTCCTTTTACATTATTTCAATAACAAAGCACTTTTTCGTACATCAGTTCGTACCTTTCGTAATTACTTGAACAATCCTATTAATTTGTGTAGCTCATAAGTACAAATCCAACTGTTACATTATAATGTGTACAATTAGTTTACATTCTAACTATATAATATGCATTCTACGTGAAGTAAAAAAACAAAATACAATACAAAGAACAAACTATGTTTACATGATCGAAAAACTACAGTACAGTTATGAGCAAACAATGAATTAATTACATGTTTGAAAGAAAAAAAGGCGTGTTATTGTAAAACTAAAGCATAAAGATAATAATAATAATAATAATAATATATTACGTATAGCAAAAGAGTGAAAGAGGGGTAAACAAAGTACGTACAATGGTGCATGTTTAGCGCTGAGGGACGGTGCGACGCGGGAATGGTCCAGCTCTGCCGGGGGCGCGGGCTACTATCGTCCAGCTTCACGTGGGGATTCGCACTGGGACCAACTGCCCCGTTAAACATGCCCTCGCTCCCGTTATTAGCTGTATTTGCGGGTAGTAATAATAATGATGATAACAACAACAATTCGTGCGTGGGTGTATTTTTTGATACTTTTTTTTTTTTTTTTTTCCTCAAGGTGATTAGCGGATTTAAGCCGAGGAAATGGTCGTTTTTAATAAAACTGCGATAGTTGTTTCCTGCGTTATTGCGTACTTGGACGCGATTACTTTTTCAAATATTTTGTTTCACATTTTTATTCTTAAAAATATTATCGAATTTTTACACTCAAATGATTTTTTTGTTTTTTATTTCTATTAA